AGACAGGCGGAAAAACAACTGCCGTCTTCATGGGGTCGTCCTGGCCTGGCCGAGAGCTGCTCGGTCTCGTGCTGTTGGACTCTGTCTGAGCTCCGTCATTCTGGCTGAGCTCCTTCCGCGCCAGCCGGCGCTTCTCGAAGATCTCCTTGGCGGCTGCGGCGTCCTCCGGCATGGTGGTGTCGAAGATGCCCCTCCCCAGAGCGGCTCGCTTCCGCGCGCTCGTGAAGTTCTCGTCGTAGACCAGCCCCCGCCCCTGCATATCCAGGAACAGCTTGAGAACTCCGAACGCTTGCCAGTTGCCCTTGGTGAGCCCGTCTGCGATCTGCGCGTGCGAATGAACCCGCCTGGCCGTCGTCTGCCCCTCGTCGAGCGCGTTCCTGAGCGCCAGCGCCTCGATGGCGGCCCACCGCTCCTCGAAACCCAATCCAGCCGACTGGGGTCGTACCACTCCGTCGTAGAACGCCTGGCAGTCGGTCGCGAGCACGGCGGGGATGCGATGGGGCATCGCCATGCGCTCCCGGACGGGGGGCCAGTTGAGCAGGATCTCGGCCAGGACCATGCGCACCATGCACTGTTCTTCTTCGGCATCCCCTGCTTCCTGTACTTCTGCAGCCAGGCTCGATCGAGCCACCCTGCCCAACTTCTTGGGGCCCCAGTCGAGCACGGTGAACTGCGACTTTTCACCCTCCATGGCCTTGGTGGCGGCGATGGCCGCGACGCACCCGCCTTGCGAATGCCCGGCAGTGCGGCTGGCCCAAGCTGCGGCGCACCGGGTGAAGACGACCAGGTCGTCGCGGCTGTGGCGGTGAATCTGGGGCCCCATGTGTTGGTTCTGTTTGATCAGCTTGACAATGTTGTTTGCGGTCGTGAACAAGCTGTGCGTGCCGTTCGGCGTCTTCGACTGGAGCTCGGCCACCCAGGCGAGGAGGAAGTGCGTGGTGTTGACGCCCAGCCAGTATACCTCGCCGCAGAAGGCCCGCAGGGCGGCCTGGTTCTTGTCGCGAAGACTGTCTGGAGGCCGATGTCGTCCTCCATCAGGTGGTCGAACCTCTTGGGTCTTGTCGGCGTAGGCCCTCTGGTGTAGGAAGAAGCCCTTCTCGTTCTCCTCGATGGTTACATCGTGCTGCTCGAGACTGGTGATCCCGTCATTCATATCCTCCCAGGTGCCCCACTTGTACAGCTTGCGGATCTGTGTCGCGATCTGGTTCCACTCGGGGTGCTCGCTGGCGAGAACGAAGTCGCCCACGTGAGCCATGGCCATGCCGATGGGGCGCCCAGTCTGAGAACACCGCAACTTCCAAATGCAAGGTTCTAGTTCGCACGCTTGAAGTCCCAGCTTCCTGAGATCGACCTTCACCGTTTCTCGCCAGTGGCGCGGTGCCTCGCCGATGCCGTACCCGGGCTTGACCACCCCGAGCAGCTCGCCGTCCTTGACGTTGAACGCCTTCCGAAGCTCACTGTCGGGATCGATGAACAGGTCTTTGTCCAGATCGTGAGCCTGCAGGAAAGCCGGAGTGACGTCGCCCTTGATCAGCCTCCAGTTGTTGGAGGCGGCGACGGTGAGCATCACGTTGCGGGCTCGCGTCGAGGCTGTAGGGATCGCAGTCGGCTCCTTCCCCAGGCCCTCGGTCTGGCAGCCCGGGAGTGCGAGGCGCGCCGTGGCCCGCCTTGCGGGTGAAGAGCCATCGAGCTCGAATGATGTCCGCGGTGTCCTTGACCTGTGACGCTGGTGCTGAGCGAAGTCCTCGATGCTGTGGCCAGTTGTTCGTCTCTTTGGTGATCGCCTCCTCGAACTCCTTGCGCTCCGCGGTGTTCATCTTCGACCGGGGGAGCTCGAGCTTGTCCTTGCGGCGCTGGTTTGCGATGAAGCTGTTGAGTATCGTGTCCATCAGGGCCATGCTGTCCAGCTTCTCAGAGTTATCGTTCTTGTTGTGCTCGAAGTAGACCGTCTGGTGTTCGTCCGCTCCCAGGGGGATGTCCAGATCGTCGTTCTGTAGGTCCACCCAGAGCTCCTTCTCTTCCATGTTATCGTTGCCCTTCTGCCGCTTCTCTGGTGGTCGGTAGAGATCAAGTTCGGGCCCTCGGTGTGTCATGCAGTGCGTCGGGCGAGCTGCCGATGATGATGACGAAGCTCCCCCAGGTTGATCGTGGTCTGCAACGGCGGGGACTGGTTCTGCGGCAGGAGGTAGCTCCGGTTCAGGCGGTCCCTCTGGTGGCCCTCCGTCAGCTGGTGCTCCAGGTTCCTGGCCTCGACCTTCTTCAGCGGTGTCGCCTGGTTCCGCTTCAGGTTGAGCGACCGACCGTGGCGTAGTGTGCCCGGACTCGAGGGGTGTCGTCTCCTCGTCCATGGCGGCAGCTGGTGGTTCTTCTGCGGCATCTTCTGGTGGTACTCCAGCTGGTACTGCAGGAGGTTCGTAGGCCTGGAGGTCCGGTCGTCGTTGGTCAACGAGGTCCTCGAAGGTGCCTGCCTTGGCCGTCTCAAGGATGCCCGTCATGGTCTTGCCTCGGTTGGCCTGCTTCTTGAGCTCGGTGGTCGTCTTCTCGGCTTCTGAAGCAGGTCGTAGTTGTGCTGGGGCACACCTGATCAGCGTGTTCCCGTGGGCGATCCAGACCACTGATGTGACGCGCGTCCGGACGTCGACGCGGCGCTTCTCCTGGGCGAGCACGCGGGCTGGCCCATGCCAGCCTCTTCAAGCTGGGTCTACTTAAGGCGCGCAGATTTGAAGCTGTTTGAGGACCCAGCTTCTCGCCATTAGGCGGAGGATGGAGGCTGTCTCAGGGGCGTCCAGCAGACGACGGTGTCTCACTAGCATGGTAGACATCAAGACCTCCGGGCACGATCCTGGAGTCAGCCTTCCAGGTCTCTAGCCTGAAGGAGTGGCTGCGCACTTGGACCCATGCACCATCGCTTCGGCCTGGCATCTGCAAGGCGTGGCCCAACACAGCCGAGCAATTCAAGAAGTTGTCTGCCAATCAGTACTCGACCCGCATCAAGGGCCCACTGAATGCCACAAGGGCTGGCCTGCTCCGTATCGGATGGGAGACCACGGCGCCCGACGCTTGGCACGTGCTAGAGGCGAATGTCAGGGCCATTTTCAATTTTATTTTCACGATGCGCCTGAGCCTCTCGATCAGGCTCAGGATATGTTGAACGATTTTGCCAGCGCCAATGCCTATCTTCGCTGGAAGGAGGCGGCCATGCATTTTTTGGTGGAGAGGGTCTCGAGCAAGGGACATATACTCGGTCGTTGAAGGATCTGTTGAGGCAGCTCCAGAACGTCAAGAACGGGAAGCAGTTATCCGAGGTGCTCCTTAACACTTGTTGCGGGGTTTTGTTGGTTCTCTCTCAGGAAGAAAAGCGCAAATCTTGTTGAATGTGGTCTTTGCCCACGGTGCCGAGAATGCTCAGTCCCCTCGCCTCAGGTACTTGCTGTGTCGGGGCAGTACCAACCACCAGTTGTGCAATGCCACCGACCAGCTCGTGAGTCAAACGCTCGCACAAGGCGACGCGACTCCCTGCTGTTGGTACCGTGGTGTTATCCCGAAGACATGGGCGGCAGTCGAACCACCGCTGGGGACTCCTGAAGGACCCCTGGAAACCACACAAGTCAAAGGGTTTCTGGGGTCGGGCTCGTGGGAGGCTCCTGTCGTGGTCTTTGGGGATGCCTCTGGAGGGCCCGATTTTTGAAACTCTTACAGTAGGCGCGTGGGGCTTGCAGCTGTCTTTAGGAGGAGTTTCGATCCTCCAGTTTTGGGCCCACATATCGTTGGACCTCTTTCAGGAGATTTCCTGAGCGCCCCTACGGGAAAACTGCGCGGCCTCGATATATGATATATATATATATATACACATATGTATATATCTAGGTTTTAGTCGAGGTGTTCTTTTACATTGCGATGGTAGCGAAGCGGTGGTTTCTGGGTGGTACCTTAAAACGTATCTTAAATCCTGGACGTGCTCTTTGGCCTATCTGGAGGGAGATTGCCCCGACCTTACCTCAAGCGTCTGGGTCATGTCGCGCTCGGGCGCCGACCTTCGTCTGGAGACAGCAGTGCCATTCCATTTGTTCTGGGACATGCGGTTGCAAATGCACTCGCGGGGGAGGCAGCCACCAAGTCACGAGTCTCGGAATCAGATCGTGCACGTGTTTACGAGGCGAAGAGGGGGGTTGCTTTTATGAGAAGTTGACTTGTGAGAGCCCAGCCCAAGGCCATGGCGGCGACAGCGACAGGGCTTGATCGGCTCAACTCAGACGACACTTGCAGTTTTCCTCCTCATCCTCCTCCTCGCCCGCCTTTGCGTCCCCCCTCAGCACGCGCTGGACGACACTAGCGGGCGGTGCTCTCGCTGCTTCTTCTCTTGGTCCAGCAGAAAGTAACCAAGACCCTGGCCCCAGTCGAGTTGCCACACAGTCACCGTTTCATCTCTGACGTGCTGTCTCGCCGCGCCCGAGGGTTGTGGGGTACATGTCGGCGTGGGGGTGGGCCTATGGCTCTCGTTCTATGCTGTTATCTCGTGCTGCACAGGCTCGATTCTGCAGGACGTGTGGGGCCTGTGGCAAGGACCAGCCCAGGTCCCTAGCCAAGGTGTGTCGGCCCGAGTGGATCACCCGCACTCGGCGGGAGTCCATCGATCGGCCTTTGAGGGGCCTTCCACCTCATGCCTCAGGGCTTAGAAGTGAGTGGCTTGGCTTCTTCTTTCTCGTTGCTTCGCAGCTGTTCTGACTCCTGACTCCTTCCCTCCCTCGAGCCCCCCCTCAGGGGCCTGCCTGCCGCAGCGCCGTCGGGCTTCCCCAGTCTGCGCCGTTGCCCGGCCACGCGCGGGGGAGGGGGGGGCGCACTGCGGGCGGTAGTCGCGGGCCCCCCACGGACCACAGGGAGACCCCGTTTCCGTCAAAGGAGGGGGGGGGGGCGGGGGGGAGGCCACCAGTCCGCCCTGCATCCCGAGGCTCTATCAGGGGAGGGGGAGGGGAGGGGGGAGGGAGCCCTCCCTCAGGGGCCTGCTTCTCCACCTCGAGCTCCATGTCCCTGATCTGCTCGAGCCCGGGCAGAAACACCAGGGCGACGGAGGACCCGCCCACCCTCAGCTCGCAGAGCAGCCTGGCGGCCCCCCCTCGCGCGGCGAGGGAGCCCGCTGCGACGCCAGCAGGAGGAGGAGGAGGAGGAGGAGGAGGAGGAGGAGGAGGAGGAGGAGGAGAGGAGGAGGAGGAGGAGGAGAAGGAGGAGGAGGAGGAGGAGGCGAACCTGGACCAGTGGAAACCCAAGACGCATCAACGATGTTGCAATGCACCCGCCCCCCAAGCTCCCTCTTCTTAAATCCCTTCAAGGACGAAATTCTCTTCACTGCGGGAAATGCCCCGCTGGAAGACAATAACCTGAGAATGCTCAATCGTGCACCAACGCCGTTCCTGGGACTTCGACGCCGCGAACCAACGATACTATTGCGTCCTGACGATCCTGAATCGTGTCAGAACAATATTCCTGGGACTTCAGCACCGCGAATCAACGCTACTGATGTGCTCTGACGGTCCTAAACCGCGCCGGATCACCACTCCTGGACGTGAACCGCAACAATATTTGAACATTGATTGCTGCACAATGTTATGACGATTGTGCTCGGCGCTAGCAATATTTTGAAAACAAAAACGACGCCTTCCATCGGTGAAACTCTTGCAACTTGAAGACGGCTGTGCGCGGCGCTGGGGCGGCTCCCACATTTGGACAAAAAAAGTAGCCGCCTTCCATCCGTGAAGTTGTTGCAAACTTGAAAAACGACGGCCCGCAGCACTAAGGCGAGACCACTTTTTGGGAAAGGAACCCCTTTCCATCCTTGTAGCTGCTGCAAACTTTTGATACGAATGTGCGCGGCGCTACGGCTATAACCACAGATTGAAAACGGCCCGCCCCTCCATCCTTGAAGCTCTGGCACAATAGAACGTTATAGAACGAATGTCTGCGGCGCTGAGGCGAGAACCACATGAAGAAAACGGCCCGCATTTCATCCGTGACACTGCTGCAAATACGAAGCTTCATGGTGAAAGAGCCTCAAACGAAACGCCCGGGTCGCCCTACCGACACGTCTCAGGGTGCGACAGGGAGGATTGAATTCCCCAACCACTGCTTGTATTTAGGGGCTCCTGATTTTGTTGCAAAGAACTGGCCCTGACGGGCGGTCTGGAACTATGTACTCACTGTCGCCCCGTCGCCATTTCGTCGCCGCCCATCGTCAGGGCCTGCAGGTCAATTTGGCGGCTATGTAGTTGCCGTTGCCGCCCCGTTGCCGCCGTCGCCGCCGCCCCGTCGTCTGGGCCTGTCTGTCAGTCCGGCGGCTATGTCGCCGTCGCCGCCCCGTCGCCGCCCGTCGTCTGGGTCAGCACATTGGGTCCGCCGCTTTTTGGTTGCTGTCGCCGCCCCGTCGCCAGATTTCACCACATGGTTTCTCCTCTTACCAAAAGAAAAACCGGAGCCCCCCAGGGTGAATCGACAACCCCTGGGATCATGCAATTTGCATATGTTGATGCCACGCCGTTCATGTTAGATAGGAATTCACAACATCCCAGCTAGATCCGCTATCGCCCCCAATCATTCCTGTCAAAGAACTTTTATGCGTGCGTCCGTTGGTCACAATTCACGAATGTCCGACATACCCTTGCAAAACACAAGAAACAATCGGCACGCGCGCGTCGTCGCGCGCGCATGCCCGAATTCTTCAAACACCTTCGGTTTCGTAAGTATTTCAATATACAAATTTCCGCAAACAAATGATCGACCAGTTTTTTAACATCCTGGCCAAGAGCATCTTTGCGAGCTTTTACGAATCATTATGCAACCTTTAGATACACATGTTGTGACAATTTCCATCAAATGCGACCAAGCGGGCCTTTCGCGCGCATGTCGAAGTCATTCGAAAGCCCTTGCGCGTTTACTTGGGTGGTGCGATCCTTGTCACATGAAATTATGCGGGCCTCTCGCCCGCGTCGGTCGCGCGCGCATGTCGAAAGCCTTCCAAAGCCTTCATCGCCGACGCGTTGACACCATCATCGTCGTCGGCGTGACCAGCATTGGTGCCGTCATTGGCTTTGCCGTCGTCATCGTCATCATTGTCGCCATCATCGCTACTATCATCATCGTGTCTGCCATTGTCGACGTCGCCATGACGCTGCGCCCGCCCGAGTCATAGACGCGCGCTGAAGTGCCCAAACATCAGCGCGGCCTGTGAGACGCGTTGGGAAGTCCCCACCAGTCAGCGCCACCGCGGCTGCATCGGTCGCGCCATACCGCGCGCGCTAGCGTGGCCGCAACGATGCGCCAGCCAGCGCCGAACCGTCATCGCAGTCGCCGCCGCATGGGTGTAGCCAACCAAGTTTCTGGTGGGGGGGGGACGGTGGAATGTTTGCGCGATTAATTGAACTGGCAACTTCAAGTTCAGCAACATGAAATTCGCCAGTTCCAACGGGAAAATTTAATTGACATGTGATAGTGCCACATCCTTCCCTTATATCAGAGACCGTGCCATCCCAGCCATGCCGTCGTCGCTTCCCTCGCCACTGTCAAGTGATACTACGCGCGCGCGCGCTCGCTCATCGCAAATCATCATCTTTCAAAAAACCCTTTGTGCAACAAAAAACATGGCCGAGGATGGTGCACCCTGCTGCTCCAGTCTGGTGGGTCTGGCCGGATCTTGCGCTGCTAGCGGGTCCGGTGGGTCTGGTGGGTCCGGTGGGTCTGGTGAGTCCTGTGGGTCCGGTGGGTTTGGTGGGTCCGGTGAGTCCGGTGGGTCCGGCGAGTCTGGTGGGTCCGGCGCCTCCTCTTCTTCTGGAGTCGGTGGATCCCCAGGAAGCGCCAAGAGGCTTCGAAGAGGCACCCCAGAAGCCTCAGGAGGCTCTCAAAATCCATCAAAATTGCTTTCAGAGGTCCTGAGAGCACTCCGAAGAGACCCGAAGAAGAATCCCTGAGGTCTCTGACCGGGATGGGCGAAAGCCCATCAGGATGAATATGGGCTCTAAGAGGGGCCAAGAGGCCGACCTGACCTCCATGACGGTTGAAAAGGGCCCCGATTAACCGAAATGTGGCTCCGAGAACTCTAAGATGGCCCCCAGACGGCTGAAGACGTCTCCAAAACAACCGAAGAGGCGACGAAGAGCACTGTCAAAAGGGTCCCCCCAGAGGCAAGCATCGTCACAGCTCCTTGCGATCTCTTGGGCTTAGACAACGCTCAGGACGGTCGAAGATGCCCTCAAGATCGTTCCAAGACGGTCTAAGAGTTTCCCAGCAGGGCTCTAAGACGACACAGGGGAGCTCCAAGATTGCCCGAGGGGCTTCCCAGAAGGCCCAAGGGGGGTTCCATCATCATAAGCGTCAGCATCCCATCAGCATCAAAATCCGCATCCAGACCATCATCGTCATCATCATCGTGAACGTCGCCATCAGCAACAATCACGCCATCAGCATCATCATCATCATCATCATCATCATCATCATCATCATCATCATCATGAGGTGTCTAATCATAATCACAGTGTTAAGCGTCATCGTCATCGTCCTCAACATCGTCACAATTAGCGTCATCGGTACCTTCATCGTCAACCGCATCACCACTAGCATGAGCAGGCACCTCCGCCATATCATTGCAAACAACGATCAGCACCAGCATAATCGCCCTCGTCATTCAGATGGCCCTCCAGATCCGTCGTCGTCAACAGCATCATTGTCATGAGTACCAACACCAGCGACACACACACATGATCATCGTAAGTGAGACAATTCCAATCAACATTTACATCCAGATCCAAATCGTCATGATCATCATGATCTTGTACGCGGCCATCCGCAGCACACACGTCATCATCGTATTTATCATCATGCATATCGTTAACATAACTGTAATCACCATCCCAACCACAATCGTAACAATGAGTGTCATTAGCAGTACCTCCATCGACAAGATCATCGCCACGATCGCCCAAACCTTCTCATCATCATAAGCAGAAGCTTCGGCCACATCGTCATCATAATCATCGTCAGCATCATAATCATCATCGTTGTCGCCATCATCATCATCATCATCATCATCATCATCATCATCATCATCATCATCATCATCATCATCTTCAGAATCATCATCATCATCATCATCATCATCATCATCATCATCATCATCGGCATCACCACCACGAACACGAGACCTCCGGAGACATCAGGGGACCTCTGGGGGTTGAGAGCCAGGGCGGGAGCAAAACATACCATCAACAGCATCCGTGTTCCTTGCAACCACTACCCACACGAGCAACATACGCATTTCCATAATACGCGCCGTCACCCTAATCAGCATCATCATCCATAGTCAAACATTATCATTCAGATGATGACCTCTATAACATAGTACTGTATCCTCCACCTGTTCCCTTCTCTTCACCCTCACGAGCTGCATTGATTTTGTCGTTCTCCTCCTCGCTTTTTTTAAATCTGAATCCATCGCCAAGCATCGCATCCCACGAAGAGCATTCACAAAGCTGGTGCGCACGAGCGCTCCACTGCACCCCCCACGGGTCTGGCAAGTCTGGCCGGTCTGGTGGATTCGGGGGTCTGGTGAATGCCGCAGGTCTGGTCCGGTGAGTCTGGTGAGTCCGGTGAGTCTGGTGAGTCTGGCGGGTCCGGCGGGTCCCGTGGCTCTGGTGGGTCCGGTGGGTCTGGTGTGGGTCCGGCGTGTCCGGTGAGTCCGGTGAGACCGGCGAATCCGGCGTGTCTGGTGAGTCCGGTGAATCCGGCGCGGCGGCTTGCGCAGCAAGGGGGGCCATTCTGGCATGGCCACGTCGACGCGCGCGCGGCGTCGCGCGCGCGCGTGCCGAAAAACTCCAATGATTCGGGTTTCGCACAGAAATCAAGATCGGGGCGCCCAGGGGCGCGGGCCGAGCAGGAGCGGGCTGCCCGGGCAGCGCGCGGGGGCCCATCGACGCGAGGGGCGGGCCGCGAGGGCGCAAGCCGAGACAGCGCGCGCGAATGCAGGGCGCGGGGCGGCGGTGCCGCGTGATCGAACGAGCGCGAGGCGACGAACCTCTCGACGTAGCGCTCCGCGCCTCAAGAGCGAGGGTGGGCGCGCA